AGATAGAACATGAATGATCCACTTCTGTATGTTTTCATCATATTTGCATGAACTGATATGCATTGAGAAGCCCGGTTCAAGAAGAAATTCTTCCTCATCATAATTGGAGAATGGAGAAATATCTCGACCGTCACGGTAACCACAAATGTCAATAATAAAGAGTACATTTCCACTCATGAACTCTGCTTTTTTTCTGTTTCGACTTGTCGATGTAAACGAAATAAAGGTACACCGTTTGAGGCCCGACATTTGATGTTCTTTGTATAATTGTTTCCATTCTTCTATGGCTTCCGTTGATAAGTTACAACCACGATAGACAGTAGTCGATGTTCGAGGATCTTCTGTTCGTTTCATGTTTGCGAGAAACCATGCGAAGGGACCCAAAGTGGGTACTTTACTTTTCCACACATGTTCATATTGTTCGTCATGTGTAAGACGCATAATTTCATTCAATTTTTGATAGAGAAATGACTCCAAACAATAGAGATGGGCACACATTTTTGTTATTTCTTCCAAGGGGTCGTCGTTAAAATAGACTAACTGTTCTGCCATCCATTCACCCTGTCGTTGTTTACCCAACAGCTTTCCTTCGATAAGAATACCTTCTGCAGCCTTGTCGACGAGCATACGAACTTCTTCTTCATTTTCATCCCAATCAGAAGATATATTAAAATGTTTCTGAGTTGCAAGGAGAAAATCGAGTTGATCCGAATCAGAGAATGGTTTCGAAGGAGTGAGAGGTTTGGCAAGAAAACGTTCCTTTCTTAGCATCTGCTGTGAAGTGTCCACAGCGACTCGTTTGACAGGTCGTTGTTGTCTCTCATCCTTGTTAGATATTTGCATAAGATGTTCAAAATTAACATGATATTGATCAAGAAGCGCTTCTGGCATCCTCTTCTGATAAGCCTGTTCTATTATCTGATTTTCGACATCTGTGTACATAGTCCATTCAGCTTCTTGTGTTAAATCAAAAACATTCTCGTTCGCTTTCCACATCCATTGAATTTGTTCAGAATGTTGCCACGATTTTAGAGCCATTGTATTATTGTATCTGTAGAGTAGAACGACAACTGAAGCTTTTTATTACCACTTCTTTGGACCGAGAGAGAGAAAGAAAGACGAAGAATACAGTCGCTTGCTCGCCGCCTTTTTCCAACTTGCTAGACGTCGATATGAGTCAAGTAAATACACAGAACGCTGATGTTCTGCCATAGAAGAGAGAAAAGAGAAATATTCTTATACCTTTCTTCCGTATCTGTTCTTATGATTACAACGGTAGATTAAGAAACACACATCCTCCATAGGAGCTATCGCACAGAACAGCATTCCTTTTTTCTTTTGTATATATTGTGACGATCTTTGGTAGAAGAGGCATTAGCGCTGATGGAACTACGCGTTCCTTTCTTCTCAAGAATCGCATCGTTTCTATACAAAACACGTGCTTATATACTCATGCATCGAAGAGATGAAGTGGAAGAATAATAAGGATAGAATCAGCTAGTGACAAAGTACAGCATAAAGTATGAAATAAGGAGAAATACCACACTGAAAAAAAATGGTAACATCACCGAACCAAAAATGGTTTTGTGGAAGAAAAAAAGTTCCGTGGACGAGAAAAAGGTTGGGTGTGGGTGTGGGTGTGGGGTGTGGGTGTGTTTAAATTGAATGAAATTCCAAGCGAACTTACGACCGGTTTCGTCCTTGCTTAAGGGACTCATCAGGCAATTTCGGAACTTCAATTTATTGCATAATATTAAGTTAAATCTCGAACATATAGATAACTATAAGAGCCAAAGACTCTCAAAATTGATCTAGTGCTGAGAAGAAATAAAATTAAACGCAATAGTCTTATAAAATGTGTGTTTAGATCAAGGGGGAAGAAGCAGATTTTAGCATTTAAAATCTCTAAAATCTGTTGCAATCTTTCAAAATCTTTTAAAATCTTTCAAAATCTCTCAAAATCTTTTAAAATCTTTATATTAGAGGTGAGGAGGTGCAGGAAGTTACCATTATCGGTAGGTGGTAATGGTATCCTTGAGGCCACAAGTTCTACTATAGAGGATACCCTTGCGTTCTCACATCTTATACTAAGGATGTATCTTTGGATCCTCAAGTCCTGTACTAGAGGCTACGCTTGGGTTCTCATGTACTAATATAGAGGGTACCCTGGAGGCCACAAGTCATATCAAACGGGGTACCTTCGAGTCCTCATGTTCTATTATAGAGGGGTACATTTAGGTCCTCAAACCTTACCCTAAGGGAGTACCCGGAAGTTCTTAAGTCCTATACTAAATGGGTACCCTTGAGTTCTCAATTATTAGTAAAGAGCAGTACCCTCAGGTTCTAGAGTTTTACTACATGAAGGTACCCTTGGGTCCGCAAGTCCTACTGTAGGAACGTATCCTTGGCTCCGAAAGTTCTGCTATAGAAAGTACACTTGAGTCCTCGAACCGTATACTAGGGAGTACTCCTGGTCCTTCAAGTCCCATACTAGGGGTACCCTTGGGTCTTCAAGTAATACACCAAAAAAAAAAAATAAGGTACCGCACGAAACCAAAGATAGTTTTGTAATCTCTACGAAAATTTAAAATGATTTCTTATGAAGCACGAAACTTAAACAGTCCAAAAATATTCGTGAAGATTCGACAATTATTTTGAACCTTTCTTGGGATCTTACGAAAAGTTAAGAAAAGGTTTCGATTCCGTTGCAAAAAAAGTTTCGTATGGTACCATACTTTTTTCATACTACTACACTCTAAAAAAAAAACGTTTTCTCCGAAACCGAAACCCCTTCAGAAACCCTTTCGAAAACCCATAAACGTATCCGAAAAGGTTTCCGGACTCATGTTAAGTTTTTGAAAATACCTTCTGGGTTTTTGAGCATCCGGAAACCTATGGGTTTTCGAAAGATAGGTCCGGAAATCCTCAACCGTATTCTCAGAAACCCTGGTGCTATTTTTAGAAACCGCTTTTGATTTAAAAACCTTCTCGAAAACCTTTGCGTTTTCGATATTTTTTTTATCGAAAGCCTTTTTGGGCTTCCGGGCACCGGAAACGGTGGAAGCGTTTCCAAGAAATCAAGCATGGTTTCAGAACATGTCTCGAAAATCCTGAAGGGTTTCCGAGTCTTCGGGCAATTCTTGCGTTTCTGAGAAAGAATTTCGGAAACCTATCCAGTGCTCTGAACTATCAAAATTGCATTGGGATATCTTCTTTTTGATTTTCATGTTTCCATCGTTACTGTAGAGGTTTAGGAATTGCTCGACATGCATGATATAAACTTTATTCAATTTATATGGAATTGTTGTGTAAAACCATTACAACTCTGAGAAATCAAAAAAATGCTTAGTTTCCAAGAAAATCTCGACTCGTTTTTACATCTTTCAATACCTAAAAACTTGAATGGATTATGACCAATTTTGGTGGGAGGATCGAAGAGCTGCGCAAAATCGTCAGGTCATTAAGAGAATGTCGTCTTTCTCCTTCTTCAATCACTTATGTTTCATCCAAGTATCAGCATTATCATCTTTGTCAACAGATTGCAACGAATATAGTGCAAGTTTCGGCCGTTTGAGGATGCTTTCAACCGATTTATACAGAAGAGTGATAGAAGAGGAGCGATAGTAAACATGAAGAAATCTTCATTGCAAGAGAATGTAAAACAAAGACCGAGTGTCTCGGAATGTTTGCAACATCATCTATTCCCCATATATCTCCACAAACGTAAATGATAAAACCTAAATTCTTTTTAAAACATGCGTCCTGATATTCTGTACAATAGTCAAAAAAAAGATTCTCTTGGCTTGTGTTAACAGATTTGGAAAGAGCTAAAAGAAAAGATGTATCAGATGTTGTAGTTTCCCACTTTGATATCGATGTAAACGCTTTAAAAATACACATTTACTATATAAATCAAATCAAATGTAAAAGAACTCATTTCTGAATACCATCATCTCGATAAAGTGAGCATCTTGATGTTCAAAAATAGTCGGAAAGAATAAAACTTCTGCGAAATGTGATTGTTGTTTAGCTGAAGAAAAAAAAAAATTCTGTACAATGAGACACTATAGACTCTCATACACCTTTCCTTTTAGCTCTTTCCAAATATATTAGCACAAGTCACAAGAATTTCTGTGTTCATCTATTGTAGAGAATGCCATAGCGTATCGTTTCGAAGATAAGTTGACGTGTTTCTGAATCATCTATTTGAACACATAAACAAAGTAAAATATCTTGGAAGCATTCTCAAAAAAAACGGTAAATATTTATTTCTTCACACTGCAGGATATAGTTTCCCCGACTGATCCGCTAAAAGGTCCGCAAAAAACGAGAACACGAAAACTACACTTCAACGATAACGAAACTACAGACCCCAAGACTCCAAACGACATCAACATTCTGCTTTCGATAGCAATACGGACACCAGACGTCAGACTGCCTTAAAAACTTTGACTTCACTAGACAAAAAGCTTTCATGACTATAGGACTCCACTTTACTTCATGACTCTGAGTTCGACAGGATTTAAGACCTAATGACACTCACTAACTTCACGGCAATGGCTTCAAGACACATGAAGACATAAAAACTTTAACTGACTTCATGACGGCAGCTTTAAGAGATTTCAAGACTCCAAGACACAAGACTGACTTTACGACTCTTGCTCAAAACGAAGATAAAGACGCCATGATTAAGGCTGACTTTGTGATTATGATTTTCAAATACAGGAAGACAACAGGATTAAGACTAACTTTTCAATCAGCCTTTCGGAGGAATACATGAAGACTATAGCGATAAGACTGACAGTACGACGCCGGTCGTAGGAGACATAAATACTCCAGAATTCAGACTCAATTAATGACATTCTATTTAGGAGACTTCCAACTTCTACCAATTTCACTAACTTCATGACCGCGAATTTGGAAAACGGAACACTTGAGCGATTCCATTAAGTTCATGTCTCTATCTTTCATAAGATTCAGCACTTTGACTGATATCATGTCTAAATCCTTGGCAGATTTAAAGATTTTAGGATTTCAGCTGACAATATGGCTCTGGATCTAACAGTCATATACACTTGAGGACTTTCACCAGTTTCATAGTATTCACTTTAACAGACATAACACTGAAGGGCTTCAACGAAATTCATGAGTTTATATTGAGGAGCTTTTCTTGTCTCTTTATACTATGAATACATGTTCACCAATAGTGAAATTCAAATCAAAATACGAGAGTTAGATTAAGCGGTTAGAATAAGGAAATAGATGTAGAATAAGGACTTAGAATAAGACGATCAGATAAGGGGATAGAATGAAAGGTTAGATATAGATTCAGAACTTCGATTAGAGGTTAGAATAAGGGGTTAGATTGTGGGGTTAAAATAAGGGAATAGATATAGATTGAGGAGTTAGATTAGGGATTAGAATAAGGCGATAGAATAAGGGATTAGAGCAAGGGACTAGAGTAAGGTATTAGAATAAGGGATTAGACTAACGGGTCAGAATAAAGGATAGAATAAGGGATAGAATAAGGGATTAGAATAACGGGATCGAATAAATGATAGAATAAGGGGATCGAATAAGGGATTAGAATAAGGCATTAGAATAAGGGATAGAATAAGAGATTAGATAAAGGGAATCGAATAAATGATAGAATAAGGGATAGAATAAGGGATTAGAATAAGGGATCGAATAAAGGATTAGAATAAGAGATCGAATAAGAGATTAGATTAAGGGATAGAATAAGAGATTAGATTAAGGGAATCGAATAAATGATAGAATTAGGGATTAGAATAAGGGATTAGAATAAGGAATAGAATAAGAGATTAGATTAAGGGAATCGAATAAATGATAGAATAAGGGATTTGAATAAGGGATAGAATAAGGGATAGAATAAGAGATTAGATTAAGGGATTAGATTAAGGGAATCGAATAAATGATAGAATAAGGGAATGAATAAGGAATTAGATTAGGGGATTAGAATAAGGGGTTAGATTGAGAGGTTGAAATAAGGGAATAAATATAGATTAAGGAGTTAGATTAGGGGTTAGAATAAGGCATTAAAGCAAGGGCGTAGAGTAAGGGATTAGAATAAGGGGTTAGATTAACAGGTCAGAATAAGGGATAGAATAAGAGATAGAATAAGGGATTAGATTAAGAGATTAGATTAAGGGATTAGAATAAACGATAGAATAAGGAATAGAATAAGAGATAGAATAAGGGATTAGATTAAGGAGTTAGATTCAGGGGATACATTTAGGGGATAGAGTAAGGAGATAGGTATAGATTAAAGACTTAGATTAGGGGTTAGAATAAGGCGACAGATATAGATCAGTGAGTCGTATTGTGAGTAGCTGCCGGAAAGCTATATAAGGTTTTCGAAGCCTCGGAAATCTCTAATGCGTTTCCTAGATCTTGAGGTTTTTTAATTGCTTTTAAGGGTTTGCGAGAACTCGAAAACCCTTTCTCGAAAACCTATAAAGGGTTTCATATAGTGACAAACCCGGAAACCTTGTATAGGTTTCCGAGAAAACGGATTTTTTTTAGAGTGTACTCTGGTTACCATTATATCCTCAAATTTTATCCCCATAAACTTAGCCCCCTTCAGAAATGCCATTTTTCAATCATTCCGCAGATATAAATACAAGAAAAACTAAATAATTCGTGCACATCCACAGGTCGAAAATATCAACCAACAAAGGAGACACGAAAAGTCCATGCATCCTAAGTTGGCATCACCATTATTGCTCCTCTGGCACACATGAGTCGGACCTATTTGCGCGCTAGTCAACCAGTTGTCTGATCACAACCGATCAAGTAAAATACAGCTTTCCATAATAACAGAACTGAATCGAATTATAACTTCAGAGTACATAAGTATCGTTTTCCAATTCAACACTAAAACCACATTTTCAACAAAACAACGACACGTGAAATCCTTCACTTCTGAGTAATAAACGAAATCAGGTTACACTTACAAGTCGCAATTTCAAATCGATGATACAAAAGTTTCTGACCGATGCCCATTTCCTCGGAGTGCCCATCTCTTCGATCGAGAAAATCGACTGCAGGGTTCTGCGATACTAATCCCGGTCTCCGCTTTCCCGACGTCGATATAGACTCGCCAGCCTTTAGAACAGTTCGTTATTTTCTCAAAAAATCATCCCTACGATGAATAATGTAGGTGTCGATGTTTTCTTTATCTTGTCCCCAATCATATCCCAAGCTAATAGTAAATTTTTTCAGACACTTACTAGTTGGGAAAAGGTTAGGTTACTCCACTGCTCTCTATCTGATAGCGCTTCAGAAACTATCAGCACCCAATCCGATATCACCTCGGCAAATCCACCTGTTCTATCGAGTAGCACTTCAAAACTATTGGTCGCTCATTCCGAAACTGTTTTAAAGACTTCAGGAACCTGTATACCAGATTCCATGAGGCTCTAGGCGTACCTTCTCAGATTGCTGGTCATGGCTAGTCGCCTCTCCCAGATTATAGACCATGTGAAATTCAAGGTACACCGATAGTAGAGAAGTTCGAGAGACTTAATCGTTACAATCGCCGGATAACGGACAAGTTACGGTCCTCACTGTAATCCTAGAACGAGGAAACTATCTCACTACCAGCTTCCTGGTAACGGTAAGATCAGATTCCTAGTACCGCCTAGTATACAACTAGAGAATTCAAGAATACCTTCTGATTTGGGACATGGGATCCAAGACTAGCCCCTCTAGAAGACCTTGAGGATTCAAACGTTCCCCTATAGTAGTACCTGAGAACCCAAGGATGCCCTCTATAGTAGGACTTGAGAACTGAAGGGTACCCCCGCTTAGTATAGGACTTGAGGGTTCAAGCGTACCTCGCTATAATAGTGCTTGAGGATCCAAGAGTATCCTCTATAGTAGGTCTTGTGGTTCCAATGATACCTTCCCATAGTAGTACCTGAGAATCCAAGGGTAGAGACGGGCGGAGTCAAATTTTTTTATTCCGATTCTGACTTCGACTCCGAAAAATTCGTTCTTTACGACTTCGATTTCAACTTCAACTTCAACTTCGAAACTTTTTTACTTTTTGACTCCGATTCCAGCTCCGAGAAACTCCGAATCCTTTTTTATAGAAGAAAAGGAAATCTCAAATATATTGTATTGTTTAATTCAGAGCATGTGGAAATCAATAATAAGGTTGCTACATTACTACTGTGAAGTCTCTCTAAAGTGAGCATGATCGAGACTACTGAAAAACGTCCATAATAAAGAGGTGTTCACCTTTGAGACGTCCATTTTCAGCAACAATTGACTTTTCGAACTCGTGAAAAACGCTAATAATAACGAGGTTTCCACTGTAGAGAGCTGCTCGCTAGTAAAGGTTTTACTGAATTATTTTTTATTATTATTACTCAATAATTGGTAATCATTTTATATACTTTATTACTAGTAATACACTAATAACAACATTGCTTCTATGAGTTATTACTTTTAATACTATATGACTTGATAACACTTTTAGTTTCTGACTTTTGCTACTTTCATAGATTATTTCTAATTACCTACAGTAATTAATAACCTTATATGCTATTACTTACTACCAGTAATAATAATGCAGCCCCTAATCGATAAAGGAACAAATGAGTGAAGAAAAATCCAAGAATCATTAACAGATTAATGTGGAAGTTCTTTTACATTTGTTGTTCAGTGAAAATAAAAAGAATCACTAAGAGGTTTCCGACGTGTACGTTATCCAAGAAATCGAAAGTTGATGATCCAGAGAATTGTACTACTTCTGATAAAATTGAAATATATTCCCATTGACGAAATTATGCTTTTATGAGGTCGGTCTTTCGAAAGATACGGTCGAAACGTTATCAACATGGGTTTTTCTCTTGCAGCTCGTTCTTAAAATATGTGCCAACTGTTATCTTTCTTTCTTTTTGTTTGTCAAACTGAAGAGTTAGGTAGGTGTTATCTTTTTTTCTCGTTTGCATATATAAGTAAACTTATTGTTATATGAAATAGCAAAATTTCGTCAGAGTTGAGATAATTCGAAAAAATTTTCCGAGTCGAATCGGAGTCAGATCAGCCTCCAAAAAATATTTTCAGTAAACCCGCTTTTAACTGCGACTTAGATGGAGCGACAGTTAGAATCGGATTTCTGAGTACTTCGCAGGTCTCTACCCATCGGTACCCCTAGTATAGAACCTGGAGACCCAAGAGTACCACCTAGCATAGGAATTCAGGATGCAAGGGAATTCTCGTATGGTAGGACTTGTGGCCCCAAGGGTATCTCCCTATTGGCATGACCACGCATCGATCACTCTCGCTTGAGGAAGGTTTCAACTCACAAAAATAAAAAAAAAACTCTGTAAAATCAAAAGTGCACCACCGACGGTTTACGAAACATGTTGTAAACTTCGAGACACTCTGTCGACCAGAGCTATAAACCCTATTTTAATCCAACAGCCGTTCAACAAGATTTTTTTTGACTAATCTCACCAAAAAATTCAGTGTTGAACTCTGTTACATTTCATTCTTTTGTCTGAAAAATAGATAGAACTTTTAATGTCATTGCGTTATGAGAGTGAAACTGGCATACTCGGATGGTAAAACTGTCTGTGTGCTGCTCTTGGATCGAGGAAAAGATAAGTTTTTATCGTGGTAATTGGTGGGTGTGTGGATGTGTGGTGTGGGTGTGGGTGTGGGTGTGGGTGTGGGTGTGGGTGTGGGTGTGGGTGTGGGTGTGGGTGTGTATTACGAAGGAAGCCACCCGTACCTACACCCACACCCCATCCACACCCACCCACACCTACACACATCCACCCCCACACCCTCCCACACCCACACCCACACCCCACATCCACCCACACCCACACCCACACCCACAAACCCACACCCCACCCACACTCCCACACCCACAGCCACCCACATCCACGCCCACACCCAAACCCACACCCCACACCCCACACCCACACACCCACGCCCACACCCACTCACACCCCACAAAAGAGAAACAAAGATAGTGTTATTTTCTCATTCATTCGTTCGCTCACACATAGTCAAGTTAGATTATAGAAAAATGCATCATTGTTTTCATTGATGATTAATAATCATATAGACGAAATGAATATGAATATATAAATGATCACATTTCAAAGTTATAAATGAATATATGGATGTAAAAATAATTATGGAACATTCATTGGTTTAATTAAATGATTTACCTGATGAAATTCTTATGATTATTTTGAAAAAATTGGACAATTCTGATGTACTCTATTCTTTAATGGGTGTTAATAAACGGCTTAATACATTTGTACATGATTCAATTTTTACAAGTCATTTAACATTGATGAAATGTTTTCCCGATGATTCTATGTATCCATTATCTGATACAATACTTGATCGCTTTTTACAAATTTTACCTAAAATTTACCATAAAATCCAATGGCTCAATGTTGAATCATCATCTATGGAGCGTATTCTTCTTTCAAACAAATTATCCTAATTTATATGGGCTTGGTTTATATAATCTTGAAATAGCAAGAGCGAAACATCTGTTTACTAGTAAGATATTTTATTTTAATCGTCATTAATTCCTAAACAAATGAGAAGTATAGAAAAAAATCGTACTATTCATATCAATATAAGTTTAATAGAATTGAGTAGATCATTTAATATTCTATTGTTAATAAACTCGTTTTATCTCATAATTTATCTTCGAATATAAATTATGAATAAGAATAAAATCTTTGGCAAAAAAAGGTTACTTTACAATGAATAGAAATATTTATATCGGAAATAAGATTTTTTGAAATTATATATACAGATGATTAACTTGTTTCTAGAGATTTTCGTATTTATGTTTAGATGGAACTATTTTAAGTGATTTATTCAAAAATCAAATTTTGTCACTTATTATCCGTATTAGTAAAAAAAACAAACAAACTTCAACAAAAGATGAGAATACAATTGTATTTACAGATATCTATACTATGTTCGCGAATCTACAGTATCTAGACTTCGATTCATCTTCAATTTATTCTCAACACTTATCATTTGATATTCCACCTCCAATTTTTATTTCTTCAACTCTCTTAGAACTACATGTCAATGTAACATTTTTCGACGATTGTCTTTATTTACTTGATAGACGCTTCAATCAACTTCGTGTACTTCATGTTAAAATTACTTGGATTCGTTCTTCAGGTCTAACAATCAATAATACGGTAGATTATTTGCATTAATATGTAATTTATTCAAATGAAGTTTTATCTGTTCTATTTTTTTTTAGAAAAATTTACCTAATTTAAAATGCTTCTCGTTATATTGTAATACAGATACATTTGTTTATGATGAATTAATTATTCCACTTTTGCATCGAATGTTAAATTTAGAAAAACTTCATCTATATCTTATAATTGGTTGCAAGAACACATTTATTGATGGTAATAATTTGAAAAGAAATATTATCAATCATATGCCACAATTAAATATATTAACATTTAACATTCGCTCAACTGTTCGTCTTCATAATCAAATTAATTTACTATCGAATGAAGATATTCAATATACATTCAATGATTTTCAAAATAATCAAATAATTACTTGTGTTGATTATTTTTCAGAGATTGAACGAGGTCAATGTCATATTTATTCATGTCCATATGAATTGAAAGAATATCATAAAATAACAAATAATTTTCCAGGTGGAATATTTAAATATGTTCGTGAAATATCATTATTTGATCAACGACCTTTTGAACATGATTTTTTTTTTCAAATTTCTCAATCATTTCCATTTATGAAAAAAATAACTTTAATTAATGAAAAACCACCAAGTGATCAACGACCTAGAAAACTAGAAGATGACAATGAACATTTATCAATCATTACATATCCACATATTTCTGAACTTAATCTTATTGAAGATCATGATGATTATATCGAACAATTTCTTGTTGATACGAAAACGTGTTTACCCAATAGTGTTTATCTTTCTGTCGATTATAAAGTACTGAAAACAGTGACACAAAATTTTACAAGAAATACAACACGAGTAAACTGTACAAAACTACGTTCTTTAGGTCTAATTGGTAAATATCGAATTCCTAAATATGTAAAACAATATTTTTCTCATACAAAAATATTGTGATTGTTATCAATATTTTTTTTGAATAAAACATGTTTAAAAGCAGATTAATTTATATAGAATTAAGGCATTGAAATGAAAAGAAGAGAATGAAAATGAATAATAGTTCCAAATGGATATCAACAAAGTGCTCACGCTATATATGTAACTGTTCGTTTTCATATAATTTCATTTTGTTTTGACTGACGAAGTCAACAGTAGCTGATGAAATGTCTCATAATAAAATATGATCTATTCGGTATTCTTTTCTTTATTATTTATTGTTAAATGTATTTAGCGAATTAAAATAAATAATAATTATTCTATAATTTTTTTGTGTTATATAATTCAATATTGATTATCGTTCGTGTTTCACGAAGTATTGAACATGTTAAAGAAATATTAGTGAATCATTTTAACTTCAATAAATGTTTAAGTTTAACAGCATCACCAATGAAATTAACTGCAACTATTTTACTGGCAATGTATTCATAAAATTGTTTCGCTTACTTTAAAATTTATCTTCTTCAACACGACCAGTGAAGTTTGAAAAATAAGAAAATTCTCTTTATATTCTCTCAATGAAAAATAGAGTCAATTCAAAATATCGCATGTTTATTTTATCAAAGAAAGTAATGAAACATGTGAAATGGAATATTTTTTTCAAGTGAAGAGGAGAGGGTATGACGTTGTGGACATGACGTGAATGTTTTCTTGTGTGTGAATATTTATTTAGTCGTCTCCTTTCAGACAATTTTTCTTTTGCTCTTTGAATATTCTGACTTTTTGCTCTCTTCTTCTTCATCATCTTCTTCGGTTTCTTCTTCATCATCTTCCCCAGTCTCATCTTCGTCTTCCTCGTCGTCTTCAGTTTCATCGTTATCTTCTTCAGTTTCATTTTCATCTTCTGTGGTTTCATTTTTATCTTCTTCGGTTTCATCTTCATCTTCTGTGGTTTCATCTTCTGTGATTTCATTCTCTGTGGTTTCATCATCTTCTGTGGTTTCATCTTCATCTTCCTCATCGTCTTCTTCAGTTTCGTCTTCATCTTCGTCGTATTCTTCCCCTTAATCAGACCGATAATAGAAAGAATTTTTATGTAGATCCTTGTGTATTTCACATTTTGTTAGTAAAGATTAGTAGTTCGATCTACATCTGTTTTGATAGTAGCATGCCTTATCACAATTACTATTGTGATATAAATATACGTGAAAACCAGTTAAAAAAGTATCTAATTATATTCAGATGTTATAAATCAATAATTTCCAAATTGTTGTTTCTTTATAAAACTTAAACACTACTAGTTAGACACTTTAAAATCGTTTCATTATTGTAATAAAATCAGAAATAGTAATTCTAGTCTATCTTGTGAAAATAGATTCTTTCAACTTTACATAAATCCATAATTCTAAAATAAATCATTATCATATTTTTCTTCTGCACCGTCCATTTCGTAGCAATCTAACCACCTATCTATCGAATGAAGTGAGCATCAGATGCTAAAGTTACCAAAAAAGACAGTAGTTCAATTGCGGTTGACATAGAGTATTCTCTTATCTATACTTTAATGCGCATATGTAGATAATAAATGTCTAATAATGAATAGTTTGAATGAATTTTTCATATGTTTCATATTGATTGTTCACAAAGATTATTGATTGAGTTCGATTCTCATAAAAAAGTGAAACATTGAAGTTCAAGATTTGATTCTGCTCTGACTGCTCTTTTACTCAATTAAAACTCAATTGAGAATGTTTGATGAATCGTATATATTAAAATAGATAGATAGAATATTCAAAAAGTCTATTGATAACAAGAAGAATATTTCGCCAAGAATTGTAGTACTAAATCAACTAACATAGCTATGGAGTATATCAAATGTTTATCATACCTTCTTTAACTGCTCGATCATTCTGATGATCATACCTATAACTATGCCATTTAATAAAATGTTCGTGATTGTGTGATTTTATCAATTCATTCATAATGTTGCCTGTTTTGATCATAAATATGAAAAAACAAAAATGTAGAAATGAGTATGAATTTTAACTTGTTGTTTATGATGCGTTCGATGAGAGAAATGAAAAAACGCAATTCTACTCGAATATTTTCGTCTTTCTAAAAAAAGCAACTTATTGACATAACTGACAACGAATATAATGAGTCAGCATATTATTAATTGTTGATTTTGGGATGATTTAATTACCAAACACACGAGGAGAAATATTTGAAAAAAAAAATCTTATTTTATTTTTTAATGTCGAGCATCAAACGACCTACTGCGTAGTTAGTTTTAAAAAAATTCTCTATGGAGGCCTGAAAAGATTTCTCATGTCCATATTGACTAATCAATAATTCAAAAATATTTCAAAATAATCTCTCTACTAGAATTCAAATTAAGAATTCATTCACTATCTATGAAGATTCACAAGAATGTTGCTCTCCAAATGACATTTTATTATGGTATTATTATTTTTTTCTAAGTGAATAAAAAAATGAAAATTCTGGATTATTTATTCTATTTAAAGTGTTCATATACAAAGGATACAAAAAATAGATCTCTATTCGAATTATCGTTTCATGATCAGATCAAGCTCAAACTGAACGAAAAATTGAACTCAATAATCACTTGATTAATCTACCTGAATATTTTAACAAGCTTATTAAGATAATCAATACGAGTTTAATGTATTTTGAGAATTCTTATGCTTATAAAGACAACATGAAAGTTCAGATGAATTTCTCATCAAATCGAATAAAATTAATATATTCGAGTATATCGTACTCTTCTGAAAACTATCATTTATAAACAAAAATCTAAAAGATTTAGATAGATTCATTTTTGCAAACGATACTTTTTTAATCTAAATTCATTCTTAACAATAATATTTATACAAGCTAATAAAAGTGATACTCACTTCAGTTATGTCTGGATGAAAATAAAGAAATATATGTTTTTTTTGCCTAAAAGCTTATCTGTTGTTATGATTTGCAAGATGCATACATCATCCTTGAAAGAAGATGTATAACGATATAATAGAAAGATAAAGATGAACATGCTATTGAAATGTCATATTTTCACTATAATCACATATCCAAATAAAGAATTATGATAAACGATATTTTTAGTTTTTCTTCATCAATATAAACTACTTTGACAATTTGATGCATTATTAAATAGAAATAAGTCTCTTTTTGATGAATGAATAAAGAATTATCAAATATAAATCTATAGTAAAATGCAACATTCGAACAAAACTAAAAGATAACTTAAACTCAAACTCAAATGCAAAGCTAAACTAATCAGTTCGGATTTTCCTCTATTCTTATAATCTTTTATTAAGTGTAAGAATTGTTGTCATCTGAATAAAAACGAGCCAAGCTACTTAATGCATCTTTAACAGTTCATAGATAATCTATCAATATGATTTATATTTCTATTTTCAGTAGGTAAGTTATCATTTGAAACTTGTATGACAATACATTTATTAGTAAATGAAAATAAATATATTAAAACATATAAGAAAATTGTAAAAGAAAATAATAGTTTATATTCTATGAATGAGTAATGATTGCACACAAAAATTGTTCTTGAAATATTAATTGATCAAATGATAATGGCGTGATACAATAATGTTTCTTTTCGTTATAAAATATAATAAAGATATGTTTGTAAATAAAATAAATGAAACATTGTTCTCTTACCTGAAAGAGAATTCTTATCTTGTTCTGACACCATATTATAGGTTACATAATCATTTTCAAAAAATATAAAAAGAAATATACATATATTTCTATTCATTTTGTTCATCTTTAAAACTTTTTCTTAATCTTATAATTTAGTCGATTATTCAATAATGGCATGGCGATTATTTTGTGATCGTGGTCAACAAGTATGGAAATATCTAAAGAATGAAATTTCAACTGAAATTGATTTCGATAAAGAAAATGCAAATAGTGCTGATAAAGTCTATCGAGAATATGCTATTGAAAATAATTATAAACCATTAAATATTGATGAAAATCAATATGAAAAATTAAAAATTCCAATATTTAATGAAAAATTATCATCATCAGTTGTAAAAAGTGCATTAAATGCAATTAATTATTATTCATCATTACAAGTTGAAGATGGTCATTGGCCTGGAGATTATGGTGGTCCGATGTTTTTATTACCTGGTGCAGTAATAACAGCTTATATAACGAAATTTGATTTTACAGAAGAACAAAAATATCAAATGATTAAATATTTATTTAATCATCAATTAAGTGATGGTGGATGGGGAACTCATATTGAAAATAAATCAACTATGTTTGGTACTGTTTTAAATTATATATCATTAAGATTATTAGGAATTAATTTAAATGATCAAAGAATAATAAATGCTTATGAGTTTATTCAACGAGAAGGTGGTGCTATGTATGCACCAAGTTGGGCAAAATTTTGGTTATGTATATTAGGAGTTATGCCATGGGAAGGTGTTAATTCGTTATTTCCTGAATTATGGTTATTACCTGAATGGTTACCTGTTCATCCTTCTCGATATTGGTGTCATTGTAGAATGGTTTATGTATCAATGAGCTATGTTTATGCTAAAAAAATTGTTGGAGATATATCACCACTTATTAAACAATTAAGAAATGAATTATATGTTGACAAATATGAAAATATTGATTTTATCAAACATCGAAATTCAATTAGTCCATTAGATTTATATAGTCCTCAAACAACTATATTAAAAATTTTGAATTTTTTTACAAATACATATGAACATATATATAATCGTGAATTACGTAATAAGGCAAGTGAATTTTTAATAAGTTATATTGAAGCTGAAGATGAACATACAAATTATATTGATATTGGTCCTGTTAATAAATTTATAAATATGTTATCAATATGGCATTCAAAAGGACGTCAAAGTAAACAATTTGAATTACATTTAAATCGAGTTAATGATTATTTATGGTTAAGTGAAGATGGAATGAAAATTCAAGGTTATAATGGTTCACAATTATGGGATACTACTTTTTCAATTCAAGCTATTTTAGAAACAGGATTAGCACATTTATATAAAAATTGTCTTTATTCAGCTTATTCTTATTTGGATATAAGTCAAGTTTTAGAAGATGTTAAAGATTATGTTAAATATTATCGTCATATATCAAAAGGTGGATGGCCTTTTTCAACTCGAGATCATGGTTGGCCAATAACAGATTGTACTGCTGAAGGATTGAAAACTACATTATTATTACATGAACAATTATTTAATTGTCCTCGTACAATAACATCGGATCGTTTAGAAGATGCAATTAATTTTATTCTTAGTACACAAAATAAAGATGGTGGATGGGCATCCTATGAACTTCAACGTTCAGGATCATGGATAGAATGGTTAAATCCAGCTGAAGTCTTCAAAGGTATTATGGTTGATTATTCATATGTTGAATGTACTTCTGCTTGTATACAAGCATTAGCAAAATTTCGTTCACAAATACATTTTCCTAATCATAGACGAAAAGAAATTGATATATCAATTCAACGTGGAATTGAATTTATTAAAAAGAATCAAAGAAAAGATGGAAGTTGGTATGGAAGTTGGGCTGTATGTTTTACATATGGTACATGGTTTGCTATTGAAGCTTTAATTACTACTGGAGAATCAACTGAATCAAATTCAATTAAAAAAGCTGTAGAATTTTTACTATCAAAACAAAATTTTGATGGAGGTTGGGGAGAATCTTATTTAAGTTGCGTTTATAAATCATATATTCATCATAAACAATCTCAAGTTATTAATACAGCTTGGGCACTTTTATCATTAATGTCTGCAAAAGCAGATCCAATTGCAATTCGAAAAGGAATTCAATTTCTTATTAATAAACAATGTTCAAATGGAGATTGGAATCAACAAGGTATTAGTGGAGTTTTTAATGGAAATTGTATGATTAGTTATACTAATTATAGAAATATTTTTCCAATTTGGGCTCTTGGAAGATTTATTAAAAATAATTATTTACAACAATAAACCTTTCTTTTTTTTTTGGTTTTTATCGATTTAAAATGCTTGAACATTTTATTTTTTATGAATTTTTGGTGTTTCTTTTTTTTTCAATAAAGACATAAAATTGTGTTATTTAAATATAATAATTAAGATACATGACGTGAGTAGAACTTATCATTATCGTATGATCTTATATATAATAAAAAGCGTCCAATAGATATACGAGAAAGATATATCATCAGATTTTGAGAAGATTATTTTATCTATTCAGGAAAGAGAAATAAAATGTTCTATAAAAGAAGATTATACATAAATTTATTGCATAGAAATAATTTCTTGAGACATAATACTATTTTTCTATTGATCATGTATTGGATTTTATTATTGATCATATTTGGAGTAACATTCTATATTATTCATAGAAAAATAAATAAATTATCAAAAAATAAATCCGATATAAGGGTGCGGGTGTTAGGGACAAGTACAACCGCACCCACATCCGGACCCCACACTTACATCCACTCACATCCGCAGCCAGGTCTCTAAAGATTATAAAATCGCCTCTAAGCACGCAGAGAAAAGTTATAAGAACTATTCCTAGGTAGCTCTTGAAAAGTTATAGAGACCACCTCTAGATAGTCCTTCGAAAGTTATAAGGACCACCCCAAAATAGGCTCTGAAAAGTTATAGGGATCACCCTTGGATAGTCCTCGAAAAGTTGCAGTTGTGGTGTTCCGGTAGATCGTAAATAGTTGAAGACAGACCTCCACGTTGCTACTCGAAAATGGTCATCTGAATTGTCACAAAAGATGAACTCAAGGACTCAACAGTTTTGGTAAAATATGCACTCGAGAGAAGTGAGCTCGAAATTTCGAGTTTACGCAGTTTCAGGAGTTATATTTCCATCCTGAAGGATATTTCGACGGAGATTGAGAAGTGCGACGGCTTGTCTCTGAAGTTTCTCTTATATTCTCTCTAGTTTTAATTTCCCCGCAATGATTGTTTGTGAGATATTCTCGACAGTTAAGCCAGTATTTTCTTATAAAACTCGCGCCAAACGATTAAGAGGTTTGTTCCGTATGCGTGGACCATGAACAAGATAGATGAGAGATTGATCATTTATTTGATAATCATCAAGCGACTTTTCTCATTGGTAGGTGGGACTCCCAAATAAATAAGTCGAAAATCATATTTTGCAGGATATGGAATGTCAATACTATGGTGAATCATTTCTTTGAATTGCCGAATTATGACATTTTTTTCTAATGTTAATATTAATGATTTGTCCGTTAAAGTCTTAATGAATATATGTAGAACTGAACGATCGGTCACATCAAACTCGACATTATTGGAAGAATTATGCGGCAGTTGGATATGTTCATTATGATCGATATGAGGAAGTCAGAAAATGAAAAGTCCTCTGACAAGTGTGCACTATCTATTGACGGATGAAATATATCGCATTTATGATCGATAAATGATCGTTCTTCGCCCGTCAATACAGTGGCATATAAATACCAATAAGCGACCTGATTTGGTGGAAGTACTGGTTTTAGATCGTCGACTTTACCGTTAAGTCGTTCTAAGTCGCTCAATATCAGTTGTCTTTCTACACAATTATTTGTGAATTTTAATGCATCATGACAATGCATTTTAGCTAAATGAAAACCACCACGTACCTCGTCTATCCGAGCGAGTTCACGATGTAATTGTTTTCTAAGATCACCATGGATATGAAATACTGTTTGACGATAAATGCTCAAAAGTACAGATGTCCAGTCATTAACACTCGAAATACAACGCATTCGTATAGCCCAATCACCAACTTCTAGAAGAGCTGATTCATTTGAGGGTATTATTGATAGTACAGATTGGTAATAATAAAGTTGTTCTGGTGGATGATGTTTTACTAAATGACCAAGACGAATAAAAACGCTTATAATAATCACAATATTCGAAGAGAAATGTTCATTAATGATATTTTCGATACTGATCTTTTGCTTTTGACTTGCTTTGTTGAAGAAAGGTTGAACAATTTCCATCGGTGTTCGATTAATCGTGTTTTTGCATCGAAAATCGCCATCTTTTTCAAGATGTAAGTTTATAGACCATCGGTTATCGACACTTTCGGATGGTTCTTCAACGCTTATCACTTTAAAAATAGTTCCAATCCGTAACAAAACTTCTTCCTCTTGACTAAGGTGACTGATATGACTAATGTCATAATAATAAATAGATCGATCTCATTTGTCATTATAATTTTTATAGATAATACTCGTATCAATTTCATACAGAATTGATTCGAAATGAGGTCGACCTTGTCCCTCACCTGCAAACATTTCTGTTATTTGAATATCTTTTGTTGTCGATATATACTGGCTCATTGTAATGTGTTGCCCAGCAAGTGATTGTAATCGTATCATATCGTCATGAAAAAGTTGTTGACCACGATAGACAGTGGATAGTTTATTATTTAGTAAACAAGAAGAAGACCATTGATCAAATATTTGCTTTGTAAAGAATAAATCAAATGATTCTTCCAAATCTTTAATAAAGAAGCGAAACTTGTCAATAATTCCTGTTGAATGAGTGCGAACAGCTTTATTCACTATTTTAAAGAGGAATGAGTCTTTTCTATACCACTTGATGGCTTCTGCTGGATTATATATTTGCGCGGATTGATCAATTTGTTCTATCATTCGTTTATTGTTTCGATGGTATAGACGACACTCTCTCAGCATCTGTTGTCTATCGAATGATATTGAATCATGTTGAAAATGAGAACGTGCTGCTGGATTTACATCCGTTAGAACACTATATATATGAATATCATTTGAATCAATGAATGACTCTTGATTTGTATTGACACCTTCAAAAACATTGCATAATGAGATAAACGGAGTTTTCATGCATCTATGTTCCATTACACTTATTACTAAGCTATTTTTTCTGGCAAATATACTCCGACATTTTTCAGAGCAGACATTCTCTGAGTTTTTCGAGACGACATTCTCAGATAAAATAAATATCGAAACAATGTAATCCATTTTTTCGACTTGTGGTAATATAGATAATGCCAATCGGTCAGATACAATAAGGAAAATACGATAAAATCAATGGGACGTCAAATATTCAAGACAAAAATCGATGTCAGTGAATGAGTGAATATGATTGAAAATAGATTGTAGATTGATTTCTAAGCCATAAGAATTATCATAGTCATCTATTTGTACATCAAGACAGACCAAATCGAAATCGTCGTCATCTTCATCAAAATTTAATGTTATATTCGAACATAATACATTTTCTGGCATATTTGTATTTTCTAATGGTTCAATGTTAGACGTATCCATCAGACTTCGTTCTGAACACTCTTAAATTATACAAAAAAGTTGAATTTTATAATTGTAATTACAAATTTAGAACAATATCTTTCGGTAAAAGTACGTTTTTAATAGATCAATAAATATCGGGCTTTTCGACATCTTTTGGAAATTTTTCTCAGAAGAATGTTGACTTTTTTTCAATGATTAATATTACATTATTGACGATCGCCTTCATAGATTTTTTTAATTTAATTTTAAAACTTAAGGAAAATTAGATAAATATTTTTATTTGAAGCTTAAGAAATATAATAATCGTTTATGTTCATTCTTATTAAATGTAAATGATAAAAATCTATTGTATAAGAGAGTGTGAAATAATGCGTTGACCGTTTTGTTTGGCATCTATAGAACTATAGAAGAAAGTGAGCTTTATATAAATTTCTTTTATGGATCATAAATGTCATTTATGCAAACATCTGAATCTTCTTGCCGTTAATTTATTGTTTCGATGTCAATTTACTTTTCAGTTGATCAACTTTGTATAAATAATAATACAAATTATTTTGAAGATTTTAGTTAATGATAATGAAATAAAAAACATATTTTTGTGTTATCTTCAAACAACTTTTGTTTACGCTGAAGTATTAATTGACTTTTGATCACTAAGGAAAGAAAAAATATAAAATTGTTGATCTAGTATTTCAAATTGCTGTATGACATAATGGTGTTGGATTTTGAGCTATTTTAATATGTTCGTTATATATTATTAAATTAAAACTGAATTAAAACTTACTTGGTGTAATACTGTTGTTGTCGTTGATGCAGCTAAGTACTAAATTTGTATTTTCTTCTTCTAATAAAATTTTCTTAATAAAAATATCAACTTATAACGTGTCAGACCAAATAATACACCTTTATGATATGATGCATCAGCCACAATTAAATTGTGAGAACGATCGAATTTTAATCCAATTGGCAAATTCATTGATCATACTACAACAGTTGGACCATAACGTGCTTTAAAAAACCATGTTTGAATTCTTGCATTATTATAATTCATCACATACATGTAACGCTATTAATCGAAAGTGACTTCTATTGATCTACTGAATTTGATATGAATATGGACCTGCACTACTTGTTGATCCAGCAACAGTAACACTAGCAGCAGCGCCTATTAATAGTTTATTTTAACATTGTATATATTAGTTTTTTTTATTATCACCTGCATCCTACCTTTGTGGACGAAATTATTACGATCGACGACATGCACAAAACTGCTTGAATCACCATAAATTCCACAAGTACCATTTAATTTATCCGCTGAGTTTCAGCTACATTTTCTCCAGCAACAACATAGCCAAGTGGTTCACCAAATGACCATTTTAAAACTCTATAATTACTTCTATCTAATATTCATTGATCGATTTGAATCAACATAAAGAGCTGTTGGATAATATAATTGTGAATAACTTGAACCGTATGAACCTGAAGTTTCAGCAAAACTTGTACCTGTTGCTGACCCTTGTTTACAATAAATAATTTTTTTATTAGAATATACAAAAAATATTCTATAAAATGTATCTCGATGAAAAGATTGGACTCTATGATGGTTATAGCAGCAACATATAAATTTTGATATCCATCAGAAGCAGTATCCCATGGATAATTTAATAAAGTTGATGTTGCTCCATTACTTGAGGGTGGGTAGGTGTGGGTGTGGGTCTGAGAGGACATGGTAAATTCCGATTTCCAGGAAATTCAAATTTTTCAACATCTGAGAAATGAAGTGTGGATTTCTCAGGTCCAGCTAGATCGGGTTGAGTCAAGCCAATAAACAATGTATATCTATTGATGAAAATAAAATAGATGATTTGATTTCGGGTGGGAACGAGTTGGGTTGGCTTGGGTTGGGATGGGTTAGGTTGGGTCAGGTTGGGTCATATAATCCGCTTTTTAATTTCTTCGGGAAACGTAAACAAAAAAAATACTAAGTCTTTTCTAAGGGAAGACCAAAGTACAGCGAAATTCAAAAAAGAAGAATACTGTACTGAGGATGTATGTTTTCTATACATCTAAAAACCAAAGTTTCGCTATTAGGGGAAAATCTATACATATAACGTAAGTCTGATCTTTCATATACGTTCAAATCAATATATCTTTTTCTGTAAGTTCCTTTTCTATACGTCCTTTTTCTATACGTCCTTTTTCTATACGTCCTTTTTCTATACGTCCTTTTTCTATACGTCCTTTTTCTGTACGTCCTTTTCTATACGTCCTTTTCTATACGTCCTTTTTCTGTACGTCCTTTTCTATACGTCCTTTTTCCATACGTCCTTTTCCTGTACGTCCTTTTCCTGTACGTCCTTTTCCTGTACGTCCTTTTCCTGTACGTCCTTTTCTATACGTCCTTTTTTTTATACGTCTTTTTTTTTTTTTTTATACGTCCGAAGTTATTCGTCAACTTTTACATTCATTTACTAAATTTAAGTAGTGGAGTCTTTTTTTCGCATTTCGACTGCTTAATATTTCCTTAACGACGCACAACTTACTTGATTATATTTGTGTTTGCATGAACTTGTCTTTATCTAATTTTGTAGATTTGTTCCAAAGATGCATTATTATATTGTTTTTTATTAATATGTGTCAAGATTATTTTCCTGAAACACTTTAATTACTTTTCAACTGCGACAAATAACATCGAATTTTTTTTAGGTCCTAATAGTGGGTAATCATTTTGAATAAAGAATTCTCAATGAAGCACTATATTATACATTTTTATTGATAAACTTTTGAAAGTTTCAGATAGGAATACTAACTTATCATTTCCTTCTAACGATAAAGCGGGCAGTGATCTATTTCTCTATTTTGGAGATTGAAAGATTTAATTTAGTGCTCCAAATATTTAAATTGGATGTTGGAAGCTATGATGAAATAATACATATTTTTGTTATTTCAGCTGACTTTATAGATTTTACTTTCTGAAAATATAAAAAATTTAATGACCATGAGTGTTTTCACACTGCTGTTCAATCGGCTATTGCCGCTTTGAAGATGCTGCAACTGCTATGCATTATTTCATCGCCTGGAGTAGAAATGTCTAGGGCTAGTCTCTGAAAGTTCATACTTTGAGTACGATGAAATTCAGGCAGAAGCAGTTATGAATATTATTTAAAAAAAAACTTAGATAAGAGTCCTTGTGCCTTATTGGGAAGCGCCATTCTGAGGAGTATATTCGACGTGGCTTAAGACGTAGTTTCTAAAATTGGCAATGTAGTGCGCAAATAGAATATATCTTGGACACAGACTTGTCGTATTCATATTTTAGAAATAAGCAGATTTTAGAGAAAAAATCAGAAGTTGACGAGTTCATTGGTTTTGAGCATCAATAGATCAGTTTTTGGAGTTGAAGATCTATTTCATTATTTTTTATCGATGAAATTTCAATTTTTATGCTCACATTAGTGCTTGACTGTTTTACAGATCAATTCGCTAATGAAAAAAGTTCTTTCAAATGAATTGATATTAGGGAACTTTAATTCCATAAATTTTTTATTCATAATGATTTCATAACCATGTCGAAGAATACACAATAAAATAGAAAAAAGAAATGCACTCATTAACTAGCATGAACCAAAACCTAAACTAAAAAAATATGCAACTAGGGATTTACCGAGCAAACCATAACTTTTTTTGCAGCACGACGGTATGAATGTGTGTCTTCGACTTATCTCTACTCGGAATTACGACTTCGCTCACATCCAACAATAAAATATTCCTTATCTTCCTTTAATTCACCTGTTGGCTTAACAGATTGAAAAGGCTCACCTAGAAGAAAACGAAAGATCAAGAGATTTCTTTATCTGAAAAATAGTCGGAAATCAGGAGATTTAGCAGGGCTGTTTGAACAATCATTTTCATGATTTGTTTGTGAGCTAGATATTCAATATAGTCGAAATAGAACTGGAACAATTTTTGAGGTTACATTTTAATATTATATAAATAAACAAGAGAAATAATACTCATTTTACATTTGAAAAGCATGTTGATTAAATCAGAAATACTTGAAATTTTATATGATATTTTATAGATGGCATCGTCATCAACGCCAACATTGGCTGATTTTTCAACGCTGCTTGCACAAAATCTCGTGAATATCGAACAACAGCCACCACTTCTTGTTTCAGCTGTTCTTGCTCCATACAAAACACATTTTCGTTCAGAATATGAATGGATGTGTGGATGTATTGAAACTTATGGAAAATTAGCATGTAATGAAACAGCCACATATACGGGAATCTTAAGCTTGATAAGTGCTATATCTGGTGGTGCATATTATGTTGATGAATGTAATGGACTGGAATATCCGTTGAATTTATATGTTCATATTATTGGTGAGCCGGGTAAGTATCTATATGGAAGCCATGGTATTTCGATAAGTTATCGTATTATCTACAAAAAGTTAACATTAACTCCACGAATTGTTAACTTTTGTCTCACCTTCATATTCATCAGTGACTATCTTTACCAAACTCTGACAAATTGAAAAAACCTTTTAATTTATAATTTTTCTTAATCGTTTGTCAACTTCCTGACATTTGAGACGCGGAAAACTGTCTTATATTGAGTTTACAAATGTTTGACTGAAGTGTTGGTTTGAACACGGAATAATATCCAGTCAAATAAAAAGTAAATTAAAGACTAGAAAAAAAAGCTAATAACTCCTGCAACTATTCTCATTAACATTATTAATAAAAAAAAGAATTTTTTGAAAACCAAGAAGTAAAAACGAGTCCAATGAAAAGAAATAATTCATATAAAATAATCTTTATCTTTTTCAAGAATTATTTAACTTTTCATGGATGTATTTTTTTTCGTTAAGTATCTGATATTTTATTTGTAGTCTTAGCTCAAAATCAATAGTTTTTATAGCTTAATGAATAGTACATTAAAAGTTCAAACAGATTGAAAGAAATGAGTTTGTCTTGTGATTTGTTTTTCTCGACATTCTCTAGCAGATATTTAAAACATGTTATCTCACATGGGTTTCAAGAAATATTTCTTGATCATGATCATCATCCCTACTGATCATTTAAGTTCGTCGCTGGTTGGCGGTTATGATGAGATTTGTTTAATTATAGCGTTTATGTATGTTTTGCTTTGATTGTCATTGGGTGCAATATATACATAGTATGCAAATAAATGATTATTTATATTTCATACTATACTAAATTACTGATATAGCGATTGAGTCCGTTGTCTACCGAGAATGCCTCTCGACTTTTTCAGAATTTTAGATAAGATCTGTCGCATCTAGTTTGTTATTGAATAATATGTTTTCTGCAGATATAGTTTCTTTGAATCATGCAAAGTGAAGACAATGATTGCTATTAACATTCAAACACAAAAATCTTATTGAGAAAACGACTAAACTAATCTGGGTTGTTCCTTTCATGTGTTAAAAGGTATCTTCATATTTTCTGGAAGCTATAGGAGTTATAGGAATAATATTTTTCATGTGTTAAAAGATTTTGTGTGAGTAACTTGACTACTCTCGACTCAATGATGCCCGTCAAGCATTACTGTTGAAAAAGATAACTGAACCAATGGAAACAACTTCGCTCACGTACCTGACCTTTTATTTATGCGTCGCGGCGTGGGGGCGCGAAGCACCCCCCAAAGAACCGCGACCCATGCTCGTCTCTGTGTACACAATAGGAAGCCTATCAGTGCGTTACACTCTAGTAGAACTTTTCCTATCTGAAAAAAGTTAGCTCGATTAACTCCATAAAATCCAAGAATAGTGTGAACTGCATATATTGTCAGAGTTACTCTTATTGTGGAAATTTAGCTTTTTAGAATGGAATGCATTGTTTTTTTTGCGGGCAAACTAGATGCTATGAGCATTGCAATTCCATGTAATGGATTGAATTATCTTCTATTTCTTAAACCCAGCTGGACTGGACACGTATTATTATTATGAAACTAGTGTCTAGGTTTTGTAAAACATTCATATAAAGGCACTATTTAATTCTTTAAAGGTATTTTCCGAAAGATTTCTCAAACAGAATTCAATATAGAACATACTTTTATCTAATTTGTAATAGAATTGTTGGACAGTAATATATTGAAGGTTTATGCTTATTTTTTTAGGAAGTGGTAAATCAACTCCTGTGAATTACATAAAGGCAGCCATCTGCCAACTTATTGATTTATTTCCTGATTTATATAATAAGAAAATAAATACACATGACAATATTGGTAATACGATGTTAGATGTGACAACTGCTTTATATGATAATCCTGTAAATAGTAATCATTTACATACAATTAATAAAAGTCAATCCAACCATTTCAATAAAAAGAAATCAGTTGAAGAACGAATGAAAATAATTGTGAACTTCGATACAGAATTAGCATTATTTCGTCAAATGGCACTCGTTAGTATTTTTTTCTTAGAACTCTTAATTTTAGCATTAGTTATTGTACGCTTTTTTTCTTATAGATCGGTGATTTATTTGCTATCACAGATGAGTTAGATAGTCAACTGGTTCGATTAGGTGTATTCAAATCCAATGATGATACAGCAGCACCAGGTGCTAAATTTCTTACTCAAGCCTATGATGGTATTCATAATGAGTCTCGTGGAACCGGAACATCAAAGTATGTCATTATTAGTGGTAAATTAGCCATTTTTGGTGCATCCACGGGACAACGATATGCATTAAACATGCGTAATTTTGCACAAAATATCGGCAATGATGGTGTGCTTGTTCGTATGTCTTACTTAGTCATGCCTCATGGAGGTGCAAAACCTATTTCTAATCGAATTCCCATATCGATGCCAAATGCTTTACATGTTGCTGTAGTAATTTCATTATTGATCAATGCTGGTTATCCAGTGCAACTTCGATTTGAAAAACTACAATCAGATATCGACAATGAACCACCATGTAAGATGCTTTTTGGACAAAAACAATGAAGAGCTCCAATAGTTAGTTGAGATGCACCAGGCTTCAGAATCTTTCGTAATAGTCATTCTGAATGAAATATATTCTTTCGTCTTAGCATAGTAACAATTGCAAAATATTGGAAAATATCAATATCATGGTTATTTGCTCATACTTACTTTTATGGTAGATAGATGTTTAAATTAAAAAAAACGAGAAGTTTATCTTGCTCTGCAAATGTTTAGGTCTACTTTAGATAAGAACTTTTCCATTTAGGGAGTAGAGTATATAGCAGCACTAATATGACGACCAAAACTTGAATTCAAGTATCAACGCTTCCTAGATTGGATACCTGAAGGTCAAGTAATCATACATATATATATATATATATATATAAACAGTATTGGTCATGTAACTAACTCTTTATATTTGCTTCTCGGCATTGGAACGTGAAACTCTTTTCGACCTACTGTGACCTATGTTTGTCGCGGTGTGCACAGTAATTTCGATGCTTTTTTAATACTTTATAAATACTTCAACTGAATGACCATATACACAAATGTTTAAAAAGAATTCAATTAGTTAAATTTAGCCTTCATTAAAAACACTTGTAAAGAAACCTGAGATCGAGGCTCTATCTGGAATAGAGAAAGTTTCTAAAATGGGTCATATAACTATCATTTTTCTTAATTACTCTATTCATATTGTTGTTATTAATAATCTTTATTCACTGATTGATTTTCTTAAATAGGTACATTACCGTTATACCAACGTGAAAGAAGAAGTTTTATTGATGGCAATGTATTACCAAGTTTTTATGAACTTGTTCCGTCCGAAAATACTCTAAATGGGCGACGAAATATTGATATTGAACCAGACGGTTCTACACTTAGTGCCAATAGTCTTCTTACAAAATTAATAAAGGAAGACGTTGCAAAATCCGAAGATGCTAATCGACCACTTCATGTTCGAGCGTTGTATGCCAAAACACCTCAAAAGTTATCTCGTATAGTTGCAAATACTCATTTATATTTTGTTGCCATTCATTTGCTAACTAGTAATGATTATGATCTATTCAATTATGTTTCCTTCCGTGAAGGAAGTGGAACAGCTAATTCTATTGTTGGAGTATCAACAAAATTCTTGGAAGCTGCCAAAAATGTTGTTAACAACTATATGAAGATGCATTTCAAAACGGAATTGGTGAAGGTAGGCGAAAATGAAATTATTCAAGGCAAGTTTATTATTGACGTAACCAAAGAAGCTGTTCTGGCTGGTTATAGCCTATTTAAGTATATACAAGATGTTCAATTAGCTATATTCGATCTATCTGGTCTTAGTTCTATTGTTAAAAACCGTTTATCAGATAGTACTCGAAAGATAGATGAAATTCGAAAACAGTTGGCATTAACGTAAGTTATTAAGTTTTACTCAAAGGAGAAAAAAAAAATTTCCGATTACTCTTATCTTCAATAATTTTTGTTACTTGTATTGTTTTAGCACGACTCAACAACAAGATTCAGATACTGGATTAATTTTCAAGTTACCTAGTCCTATACTCAAACGAGTGTGGATAACAAATAAAAAAGATGCACCATCATGGGCTGGCATTTTTTGTCAAAGCTCGAAAAAGTCGACGAATTCAAGAACTACAGAAAGGGGTACAAAAGCAGTTGACGCTTTAATTGAGTGTGGTCTTTTCAAGCAAACTAATTATTTACCAAACAATAGTGCCTTGTGGAAAGCCACACCGATGGATATTTCTCGTTCTGAACAACTTCAAGCTGCTTTATACAAATACGTTGGCATCCATGTAAATGAATATGAAAAAATGTATGAAGATTGGTTTTATCCAAGTGATCTAACCATCATGACACGTTCACTCATTGATCATTTAATTGGTGCTCCAGAAGTTTACGCACGTTATTATCACAATTATTCACCTGAAAAATATCCTGAATTTCGTTTACGTATTCAACAGTTGGAGCATGATGGTTTAGTCAGAAAAATGGAAGTTAATGGAAGGATTATTTGGCATTATTGCATTAATGATCGAAATCCATTTGATTATGAATCGAATGATTATTCTAGTAGTTGTATAATTAATCAAACTGAAATTCGTGAAATTGAAGCAATTTCTACAAACGAACACGGATTGAAACGAAAATTGACAACACTAGTAAAACGCAATGAAGTAATAATTTCACCAAGTACAAGTTTTTCCATAACACCAACCAAACGTACTCATGTTCAGGCTGAAGTAACACCGGTAAGCGTAGTATGTATTCCGAAGAACTATTTTATTAAAGGATGATTTTTTTTTCTGAAAACTCTTCCAATGCATATATATATATAGAGGGAGGCTCCGAAATTTTAATCATTCACCTTTATTTATCGCTCTCATTCGGAAATCCGTCCAGTTTTTTAATTTTTAATACCTGGAATCCTTTATTTAGGATTTGGAACCAGGAATAGTTAATTTTCAAAATCTTTTATCGTCCAACAATAATACTTTCATTACGTCATATAATAATTTTGATCAAAATGAGCAAAACGCTACAAATAATATTACATTTGATAAAAACAAATCAACAACAAATAATAGTACATTTGATAAAAACAAATCAACAACAACAAATAATACTATTAATGATAATATTACTAATTCTATTCATTTTACTTCTATATCACCTA